GTCTCATAATTGAAGATGTTTTGGTGCAGCCACTTTGAGTTTTGTCATATTCTTGAGGTGTTGTGACTTCAGTATGTCAAATAAAGTACATCCCGTTACACCCATTGGCATTTGTTTTTGTGTGGGTGGGCTTTTACGGTGTCTGTCCAGGCTGTTGAGAATCCAATCAGCAGGGATTGGCTGCATAGGCTGATACAGCGTGATCGTTGTTGAAAGGATGAAACCAATTTAAAGGAGAGTCAGCCGTGCTGAAAACCGACCCCAAGAGACCAGAGCCAACTTGACTCAGATGTTGCTGATTATTGTGCTTTGCTCAGTTTTGAAGTGTTTTCTATTTGCTGTAAGCAGAAAGGTTGTGGTGTGTTGTTTTTAACTATTTGGTCTAAGTGTTAAAACATTGACTCCAATAAGGTGAGACACATTATGTTGGGATTATTTTTTACCTTCTTGTACAGTATGTATAGTAGACAAGATTGGAGGATAAATCTTTGTTAGTCACATATCGCTATTTAAGGAGAATGTACAGTATCCTGAAGATCGCAACACATACTCTACCCAGAGTGTTCAGCAATTCTAGTGACATGTTTAGGTATCAAACATTAGATACCACTTCACGCTAAGATTTACAGGAGTTGTGAAATATTAAGATCTCAAGAAAATTTAATGAGTTGTCTCTGTAGATCAGCAGCCCCCTTTATAAGGGTTGTGTTCCACTGTAGGGCAATGAGGGATTTAAACAGTCCGTCATGGGAATAAGAGAAAACAGGATATCACCTTTTATAAGGAACTAAAGAAAGTAAAAAGGAGGAGGATTTTAAAATTCAGTAAAGAGAAGACAGTGTTTTGCAGCCGGTAGATTGCCATTGTGTCAAGTTTCTGCTAAACTCTTTTTGCCAGGTTTTGTGATTTTTATATCTATAAATAAAGGGTATACCAGAAGAGAGATTTGTTGTGCTTCCTAAATTGTCCTACTTTTAAAATTTTCCTATACAATTTTGGATAATTCTAATTTTTGGGCTGTCTCACCTCCAGCATGATGAAGGGCTAAAACTTTTCCTTTAGTGGGACTGTCCCCCTACCTTTGGTTGAGATTAGCACCCTCACACAAATGGTGTTAGTAGTGGGATCGTGCACAGCCAGGTGGGCTGTGAAGCCTGCATATCCGTTTTCACTTATTTGGCTTAAGCATGACGTTGGAGCAAACTAAGAAGCAGGAGGTGATGTGATGGGTAAGCTTAAGCTTTGGCCAAGGCCTCCTCTGGAGTGAAAACTGGACACACATGGCTTGACTGCCTAATTAGTGTCCCGTGTGGCCAGGTGTGCGTAGGTTGGGGACTGCATCTAAGCTCCTACATGTCAGGAGAGCTAGGAGTAGAATGAACAGCAGGGTGTTTAGATAGCACAGGTGCAGATAGTTTACTCCAGTGCTTTGAACAGCAGCAGCCAGCAGCTCAAAGTCCGGATGAACTCTGACGTATTTAAGAGAAAGAAGAAACTTGCAAGTTTTTGTTTGGTTTGGAGTGGAAATAATTGGTGACTGATGGAACCAGAGTAAATTTAGTATATTCTGTATCTACATACTGTAGTCCTGGATATAATTTGAATCTTCCGTAGTCTCTGTAGATTTTAAGAGTAAGAGAGATCACTTTATTAGCCATATACAGTTTCTTGCATTAGAAATTTGTCTTTTCACATACCACAGCTTGCTCTCCATGAGACACATAGACAGGTAGAGAAGCTGGGGGTCAGAGCGCAGGGTCAGTCATTTATACAGTGCCCCTGGAGCAGTTGGGGTTAAGGGCCTCGCTCAGGGGCCCAACAGAGTAGGAATCCTCTCCTGGTCTCAGGATTCAAACCAGCAACGTTCCAGCCAGAGGGGCAGATCCTTAGCCACAGTGCCACTGCCCCGCCCATCACACCCCAGTAGTTCTGATTATAGTTGGAAACTGGGCTCCAAAAGGATTAAGCCAAGTGTGACGCACCAGTAGGTCTCAAAGGAGACAAGGGACATATACCTTCCTATTAAAGCGAAAGACTGGCCACTATTTTCTTTATGAAGAGAAAGGAGTGTCAGGGATTGAGGTGCTTCAGATCCTCCAGTGGATTATGGAAGAGCAGAAGAGTTGGTGCGCAGGAGAAGAAGAGGAATGGAAGTTACAGTATGTGCAGTTAGCCTCTGTGAAGGACTGGTTTTTGGGACTGAGCAGGCTTCTCCACAAGGGGACCATCAGTCGTTGATAGGACCCTGGAAAGGTTCTGCAAGCCATTAGTAGTGAGAGAGCACTGAAATGCATGCTCTTAAAATGGTAGGAGACTGTCTACTGTCTCAGGGTTACTGGTTGTGGCTCAGGGGAAGGCAATCGCCACAAAATAAACTCTAAATCAAATAATGGATATGTACAGTGCTCAGCGCACGATAAAAGTAAACCACAGAGGCTGGGATTTAGATTCAGCAATATGTTCTGAGAATTTCATGGCGGTGTTGTCATCTGTACTCTTCATTGGAGTGGATTATTACATTTTATACATAATGTTTTAAGGCATCAGACAATACGATTAAAAACGACATCTCATTTCTTCTTCAGGCACATACAGAAGAAATTTTCACACAGATTGAATAATTAAAGATGTGCGTTTTTTGGCAAAAAAACAAATGTCCAATAAGTAAAAAAAATGTAATCTTCTGAACTATGTCAACAAACACTTCTTGTTTATGACCACGCTTCCTATAATGCACCAATAGACTGAGAAATGGTGAATCTCACTTTACATATTTAAGAGACAAAACAGTTGTTTGTATCTAATTTATTTTTTAAATAAAAATATATTTTATGTAGCATCATTCAAGTTGCATCATCACAAAGCATTATAAAAATAATACAACACTCAAACAGA